TGATTCAGCTTGAGTGCTTTGATCTCTCCCAGGATTTGAGCGCCATGATGAGTCAAGACAATTGCTGCAGCGCCTTCAACCCGGCACTGGCACCAGAGCCTTTCACTGAAGCCCAGGAAGACCACGAGAGGGGCTGGACTCAGACCCGCGTCCTGCGACGAAGACTTCGGAGACAAGCCCTGACTGTCTTGCTGTCCATCATGTCGGTGAAATAAACATGCCCGGCACCGAGGGCGCCATCGAGAAGTGCGTCAAGTGTGTTGAGGATACTCTTGGGCAAGGTACAGTCGAACAAAAAACGCGCACGCAGACCAATGGTGCTGTGACGTATGCTAAGGACAGCGACGGCCATGTTACTCTTGACCAAGACGAACCGACGAAACAGTCCCGTCGCATCCAGAGTCATGAACTCAGGGGCGCAGATGCTGAGGCTAAGGCATCGAAGATGGTCGCTGATATGTTTGTCAGCCTCAGAGGCGCTCTGGCTTGCGCCCTTGTCACACAAGTGCGGTTAATGGTGTACGTTCTCTCACTGCAGCGTGTCCAAGAGCCGACCAACATGCAAGTGCGACGACTTAGTGCGATTACCAGGAAGCTGCAGGCCTGCCCTCAGAGGATTGTCTACCAAGCGATGACACCAACGGGCGAGGTCGATCTGCATAGCGACTCCTGCTACCGTCGCTTGAACGGCGATGCCGATGACGAAGTCAGAGGCTATGGTGTTCGCGGGGTAAACCTGCTAAGGCGTGGACACGCGCATGTTGGCAAGCCCGTCGCCCATCTGGTTGACGCGATGCAAGTCCCACCGTTTGCAAGTCCGCTCGAGCTACTCGGCTGAAACACTGGCGCCAGCCCACGACCTGGAGGACTGCTATCCCACGATTGTAACGCTACGCGAACTCCACGCGGGGCGGCTGACACCCACTGAACTGAAGGATCTACTTGGAATGGGCGGCCTGAGCATTAAGGTCACTTTGACCATTGATACAGAATCCGTCTTCACGTCTGTGTCGAGCTGAGACCTGAAGTCGCCGACTGAATGTGCACTTATGGGTCATATCAGTTAGATACGGCGAGTGATGGAGCGCGGTATCGTGCATTGTGTGCAGTGGTGCGACATTTGCGATATCACTGCGGGTGGTCACACCAAGAGGAGCATCGACATATACATGCTCCTGCAAGTCATGGACAGAGTACAATCCTTCAATCACGACTTGAAGCGACACACTCCCTACAGGGCGGGCCAGACGAGACTATCTGAGCCGCCCGAGGATAGTATGCTGCGGGGCAACCTGCTCAGGTTGAGCCCGCCGGTTGCCGCCTCCGTTGTGCAATGGATTTGTTTTGCCGAGTAAGGCCTGTAGCGGACTCACGCTTCGTCTGCCCCCCCACGACTCTGAATGAGGAAGGGCAAAGGCGAGATGTATCGAGCGTTTGTCCGCGGCCAACTTGGCCCAGTGACCGGCCACCTATCTGACCGGGCCGCATCGCGGCCCGCTACCTTACATCGAGACAGAAAAGGTTCCACCCTGTACTCTTGAGATGCATCATCGCCGCTCGCGCAGCTCCTCCCTACTTCTGGCGCGATCGCTAGTGCGATACAACAGGGTTGGACGTATGCTTCGCCTTAGGCGAAGCATTTGGTTGTGGGTCTTCCGACCAGCTTTAAACTCGAAGTGCGCCCCGTCTGGCCTTCTTGAGTTGCTCTTGGGGCCGTATTGGAACCCTCTTGGGCCCTTGGGCTCTTGTGGCCCATCTTGGAGCAATCCTGAGGCTTCAGAAGCCCATCGCAAGCGAGAAGGCGAGAAGGCACCACTCACGTTTCCCTGCAGGTTTTGCAATGCATTTCGCCTCTCGGGGGCGTCCTTGGGAGCCGCAGTGTTCACTTGTGGCCGTTTTGGAGCGGTCTTGGGGCCTTTGTGAACATGCTGGAGGCCATCATGAACGATTTTGCAATTCATATGCCCATCTTGTATGATTTAATGGGCCACTTGAGGCCAGCTGTTAGACATCTTGTGCCAACAGCTTTTCATGCGTGCCCCCGAGATGCCAACACCATTCGAGCTCATCGCGTTGTTGTCAATGTATTTGTCGATCATAAAGCGGAGTCCCCTAACACCGCCGCCACTGTGGAACCCGAGCTACGCTTTCTGGAGCCCTCTGAGGGCGCTCTCTCGGGGCGCTCTCTCGGAGCGCTACTGGGCTGTCTCTGAGCCATCTTGGGGCTCTGTCTGGGCTCCCTTGGGCCATCCTAGAGCCATCCTGCGGCTTCAAAAGCCCGTCGGAAGCGAACGCACACAAAGCCAAACGCATGCATGCTTCCGAAGACTGTTGAGGGATTCTGGCATCTCGGGAGCGTCCCTGGGAAGCTCCGTGGTCACTTGAGGCCGTTTCGGTGCCATCGTGGGCCTCTTGGATGCATCTTGGAGGCCACCTTTAGCAGTCTTGGGCTATATTGTGCCATCGCGTAGGTCATCTTAGGCCCTCCTGGAGCCGTCCTCGGCCATTTCGGACGCTCAGACTGGCCGTGCACGCCCCCGTCCAGACCTAGGAGGAGGGGGTGTTGTAGTGTGAGTTTTTATTATTATTATTATTATTATTATTATTATTATTATTATTTGTTGATAAGAAAAAACATTCCCCGAAGGGATGACGGGGCTTCGAAGAGGAAGCGCCTTAGCCCATCTCACAGCCCAGAGGGCTGGTGGGATTCCCACCCGCTCACCTCAACTGCCTGCCGTTCTCCCAGGCCGTCCACACGTGGCCAGAGCAATCGGGGCGGAGAATATTTCAGCACTGGCGACAGAGCGCGCGATCTTCTCCATCCCGACGTCACCGATGCCTTGCCTTTGCATCGGAGATGTGCTGCGATCCTCCGACCCCGTGCGGGCGGCCTCCGACGACTCACGCCTGGGACCGGGGGGCGTGCGTGTCCCGGCCGCCCTGGAACACATGGTCGGGAGCAGCATAAGGCACATTGCGCGTGCTTAGTCAAAGGAGAAACAGCGGCACAGACGTGATTTTTTGAGGTCCTCGCGGAATTCTTGGATCGGTGTTGCGCCCCCCTGGCGGCGCCTCCGACGCCGCCGCTGACGCGCTCCGCGCTCCAGGCAGGTGGGCCCAGCCCCGATCAAGAGATCTGCACGGATATCCTCCGTAGCCATTTTGGCTCAAGCTCTATGCAGTAGTGGTCTTGGCGGAGCGCGGTTAGGATTTGTTTATCAGGGCGGCGTTGTCCGTTGAAAGCAACGGTGACCTAACCATGGACGAAACCTTACCTTTGATTACAGTAGCTCCTTGGCTGGAAAGGAGGGGTAGTAGCTGGGGAAAGACAAACACCTGTTTGGCATCGGTTGGCGCATGCCTTGCTCTGTGCTTCTGGGCGTCGTGCTATACTGTTGTCTCTACGGGCGACTTGCACAAGGAAAACAAGTTGCGCGCGCTACAAGGAAACCAGGCTTTGATTTCCTCACAAGAAGCTGTTGCACGAGTGATCTTGGTAAACGCCTGTGAAGGAATGGGCACGTTTCCCACAACGCTGGCACAGTTTTTAAACCTTACAAGCAGCAGTGGTCAGATTGGTGTGATGCCCTGTGCGAAGGACGGGAGAGTGGTCTCGTGTACGGAGAACGTTTCAGACCCTCTGCCGCTTTCTGAGTACTATGAGATGTCAGGCTGGAATCTCGATGCGTTCAGTCCAGCGAAGGGCGACCTGCACCCAGAGATGGTGTTTTGCATGAAGTCGCTCGGGTCGGGGTTCGGATGTGATGAGCTCGCCCTGCCGGGGCCGAGGAGTCTCAGCGCCTGGAGGCAGGCAACGGCAAACGCAACGCACGTTGGTATACTCAGCCTGCGGAAGAATTTTCTCGAGGCGCTCCATGTGGCACCTATTTACTTTAATTTTTCATCCGCTCGCGAAGCAGAGGTAGCTGATATCCTGGAGCAGAATGAACTTGCGCCAGCTTTGCCAGGGAAGGGAATCACTGGAAACTATGTCGTATATCATTGGCGGTCCGAGGCTCTCAGCCAGATCAACTATTCATTTTGCGCCGAGCGTTTGGTTCAGCATGCGCATGCTCATGCGCCCAACTTACAAAAGGTTCTCGTCTCTGACTTGCCATTTAATACTAGTGCTTTACCAGCACTCTGGGACACAACTGCAGCACAAAGAATAGGTGCAAACCCTGGCGTCATTGCTGCACGTAATGTCCTGTCTGACGCTGGTTTCACCAAGGTGGAGTTCATTGCCCCAGCCGCTGGTTACGATCTGAGGTATCGTGATCTCGGTCACGTAAGCATCTGGGATACAATCATTGCACGTGGGGGGTCCACACTTGCAGTCTGCACTGATCCTGCTTGTGAGCCCTGCTATCGTCGCACCAGCTCTTTTGGAAAGCAGCTCGTCCAGCACTACATAATGCACCATGGTGATGCTGCTGTTGTGCACACTAGTTGGATGTGACGTAGTTGGCTGGTGCTATCTTCGACCTCAGCGGCCAGGCAATGGTCCAGCTCACCGCGGATGCGCAATGCATCTGGTGCAATCTATGTTGCGAGCGATCAAAAAAAAGAGATCTGCACGGATATCCGAAAGTGTATGTTTACGTCGATGTTTGTCCTTCGGTTCGGGGCTTGCGGTCCTTGCTCGGGAGGGCCCCCCACCACTCGGGAGGAAAGAAGAGTATGAACGACGCGTCGCCGTTGGGTGCCCCTCGGCGTGTGACTCCTCCGTTTTGCCCGACGGCCTGGTGGGTCGTCAGAAGTAACACGCTGATAGCTCCCCACGGCGACGTGTCGTTGATACCGTCTGTGCTCCCCCACCCCCGTCGCGGCCCCCGCCCCCCTGTCATTGTCGAAGTCGGCGTCGGCGTCGTTGGCGTCGGTAGGTAGCGGCCTCGGCGTCAGATCGGCCAGCGGTATCGACGCCGTCGCCGTCGACGCGATCGTCGCTGCCGTTGCCGCCGTCGCCGTCGCCGTCGCCGTCGCCCGCCTTGGCGCAGGCGCGTCCTCGGCCCTGGTGGAGCTGGGGAATAACCCGAAGCTGCCCTCGAAGGCACCCCCCCTTGCGAGAGTTGTGCTCCGCGCCCGCGCTTCCTGCGCGCGGCGTCGTCGTGGCGCCCGCCGCCGCGCCGCCGCCGCCGCCGCCGCCATCGTCGTCGTCGTCGTCGGCGTCGTTGTCGTCGGCGTCGGCATCGTCGTCGTCGTCGCCGCCGCCGCCACCGCAGCCATCGCCGCAGCCGCTGCCGTCGCCGCCGCCGTGGCCGTGGCCGTGGCCGTGGCAATCGCCGTCGCCGTCGCCGTCGCCGTCGCCGTCGCCGTCGCCGTCGCCGTCGCCGTCGCCGTCGTCGTCGTCGTCGTCGTCGTCGTCGTCGTCGTCCCGGCGCGAGCGGTGGCCGACTGAGTTCGAGGTTCGAAGTTCGAGGTTTTCGGTCGTTTTCGATAGTCCTCGGCGGCTCGATAGTCCTAGTTGAGTTCGAAGTTCGAAGTTCGAGGGTTCGAAGTTCGAGGCTTTCGGTCGTTTTCGATAGTCCTCGGCGGCTTCCCAGCCTCGGGATGCCTTTCCGCGGCTGCGCCCCGTCGAGGGCGTTCCGGGGGTCGCGTCGTTTGGCTGGGGCAGGCTGCCCATATCCAAGGGCGCCCTCGAGTGCGCGAAGTTATTCGCGCTTCGCGCTTCGCGGTTCGGCTCCGATTCCTCCTCATCCTCCCCTTCTACCCTGGGAGGCGGCGCGAGAGCGCGAAGTTATTCGCACTTCGCGCTTCGCGCAGCGCGAAGCGCGAAGTTGGGAGTCCTTGCATATCCAAGGGTCTTCTGCTGCCGTGGGGGAGTGATGGGATCACTCCCCATCTCGAGATCAAGCTATCAGGACCGACCTCATTAGCCGAATAATGACAACCACACAGGCGTAATCATTCGGAGGTCGGGGCTGATTTCTTGGATCGGCGCTGGACCTTCCCCCCTGGCGCGCGGAGCGCACCAGCGGCGGCGTCGGAGGTGCCGCCAAGGCGGCCAGCGCCGATCTAAACATTCCGCGCGGACCTCCAACGTTAGTGCCTGTGCTGCCTTTCCTTTTCACATCTAAAGCAGGAGGTGTCTGCCACGTAAGACATTTGCCTGCCAGGGTGTGTACCACGACAACCTTGTATCTCCTGATGGGTCAGTGGAGCCCTGAGGCACCTTACGGAGCCCAGAGACGACGAAGAATGTGCCCCGAGAGTTCTGATGGCAAGATTGGTTGTCTTACGTGCTTAGCGTGCTCCTGTTTGTCTCCCGTGACTGAAAGGCTGCCGGGGAAGATGGCGGCGACGAGGAGGACGACGGCCTCCCCCGTCCCGTCTCGCGCGCTTTTTTTCGAGGGGGGCTCCGCGCCCTGCGGCGCGTCGAGCGGCTCGGTGGCACACGCGCGAGAGAGGAAGATAAGGACGAGGGGGGGGAGGAGGAGGAGGAGGAGGAGGAGGAGGAGGAGGAGGAGGAGGAGGTGCCCACTCGATCCTTCCCTTTCCCCCTTTCCCCTTTCCCCTTCCTGCCCTCCGTCTCTGCCCCTGTCCTAGGTTGCGCCTTTCGAGTGCGTGGCCTGTGGACTTTTCGTGTCGCCAGTGTCGCCAGGACCCTGACCTCCTTGCGCCGTAAGCAGCGGTCACGAAGGGAGGTGTTTGACAGTGTTCGGCTCCTGGCCGTCAAGAAGACGGCTCGGGATTGAACGCTTGTCCCCTGGAAGGCGTCCAGTTTTCTGCGGCTCCACGCGGTGAAACACCCACGACGGTCGGTCTTTTGGTGAGGAGGCCGCCCGCGTGCGCTGCCGCTGCTGGCTACGCGGCCGACTCGGGGGCCCGGCCGAGCCCATCTTACCAGTCCGCCGATCCCCATGATTGGCATCGCCTCCTCTCGATGCCAATATTAAGGGTTCCCTTTGTCATTGCCTTCTAGCTTGTCAACCTTAGGAGTAGGGGTAAGTTCGAGGCCGGGTACCATCCCCCTCCCGAGGCGAGGCCGTGCCAGGCCCGTCGAGACCGCCTCCCTTCGCCCTCCAGGTCCCTCCCGTGGCGCACGCGAGCGGGCCCTCTCCGCCCTCTCGGTTGCCCGTCGGCTCTACCCCGCTGTTGCCGCGAGGGTTCGGGAGGGAAAACGAGTCTCGATGACACGCTGCCGTTTGACGCCCCGTCGGCGTGTCCGAGGACCTGGTGCTATTCAAGCATCAGCACGCTGATGGGTTCCCCACGGCGGTGCGTCATTGATACGCGGCGAGGTCGATGCTTCGATCGTGATTTTCCGTTTCGCCGCCCAGGCTCCCAGCGATGGAATCGAGCGGCGAAGTTCCATAGTTCATATTCGACCATCACCTTGGAAGCCCAAGTGGTCACCCCGATGATCATAAGGCGGACGGGGTGGAGCACGAATGTAACCCCCCGAACTATAAAGGACGCCCCCCCCGTCCTCTCTTAGAGGGGGAGCCACCGCTCCCGGCGGCGAAATATGTATTCTCGTTCTCCCTGGTCTGCGGCGGCTACGGAGCCGCGCCGTGTCAGCTTCTGCTGCCTACTAAGGTCCGCGTAATGTCAAGGGCCGTGCTGTGGCTCCAACGATCCTGAGCCGCTCAAGCATGTATTATCATTCGTATTATGATTATTCGCCCCAGCAATCGAAGTGTTTGTGTTAATTGTTTCTGGTCCAGAAGCTGTTGTGTTGGACCCGCACTGGGGATTCAGAGCTGTACGACTTTGCCGCGGAACCTTCCCGAAAGGCTCCGCCGCATCCCAACGACCACTGTCTCCAGATCCCCGACTCGAAGAAGAAAAAACGCCTTCCAGCGCGGATCCAAGAAATCCGCGCGGAACGCCAACAGTTTCTGTTTGTGTCGTTTATTATTTTTCGACCGACGTCATGATCTGTTCATAACGCCCCAGAGGTCTCGACCCATCCAGGGGCCGAGGGGGTCTGGGCATCTGCGCCCCCCCAGGATGCCGTGCAGCCTCCTCCTCCTCCCTCCTCCCTCTTCCCTCCTCCCCTCCTCCCCTCCTCCCAGCCAGCTGCCGAGCGAGGTAGGACGCGGCGGGGCAGGGGCCGCCCACTTGCGCCGTTCCACCGACCTCTCGGTGATGTGTCTGTCGCCGGGTCGTGCGACCAGATCCCCAGACCCCTCTCGAGCCCTGAAAGGAGGTCACGACGGAAGGCTTTTCGCCACATGGGGGCCTCTAGGGCCCCATCTCTGGGCTTCGGGGCCGTCCAGAAAGGTCTCGGGATGGAGCTCCGGGCCCGGGGCAGTGGTCGAGAGGTCGGGGGCCCGTGTCAAACATCGAGGCGCCGGATGTCTGGGCCGATCATGTTTGGCGTGCCGGGCACGGCCTCGCCTGCGAGCCTCGAAGGGGTGGCAGTCTCTCTTCCCCCGTGGGCACGGCGGCGGAAGGCGGCGGAGGTGAGACGGGGCCGCCTCCGCCTGCGCGAGCGGGCTGAAGGCTGGGGGCGCGGCGGCTGTGGCCTTCGTGCTGGCGGATGGCGATGGCCTCGCGGAGCCGCCTGAGCTCCGCCCGCGGCTGCCGCGCCGCCCAGGGCTGGGACCTGGCCCGGGCGGCTGCGGCGCCGACCGCGGCGTTCCCGCGCCCTGCCCCGAGCGACGCCTGGGCCGAGGCGGCGGAGGTAGAAATCGGACCCCCGAGGGTTGGCACAGCTTCTCGGTTGAGGGTTTTCAGGAACCGGCCATGTGGAACAGGGCATGCCCAGTCGCAGCGGCCGTCTGCCGCTGTTCAGCTGCTGGATCGCCTCTCCCACCCCGCCCCGCGCTGGCCCACAAGGTTCGGAGGACGACGACGGCGAGGACACGAGTTCAGAGGGGGGAACGACGAACGACCAGGCGACAGAATGGAGTCATCGCCGGTTCCAGTTCGATGCTTCCCCCCTGAGCCAGTCCCCCCCTGACCGTGGGGGATCGAGGTTCGAGAACCGGCGATCGTGGAGGTTTCGGGGGGGGCGATCTTTCGAGGAAGCGAGAGCATGCAACAAGGTCCGTGGATGAGCGACGGGTGCCGTTTACGCGCATGCAGTCGGCGCGCTCCGTCGTCAGACCAGGCGGTACTGGTCCCATATTTGAGGGGCTACGTTTCCAGATACGCGGAGCTGGCGCCCACGCGACAGATCCAGGGCTGGACCTAAACGGTGGTTTGGCCATCTCGTCGGCCGTTTTGTTTTTCGTTCTGCTTTGCATGAAAGGCGAACCGAACGCAAAACAAGGAAGAACGAACAACCAAACGACAGCGAAAAACACAGTTTAGGTTCAGCCCTGGACAGATGCACGGATCCCTAATCCACCTCAGCGTGCGCTTGGATTTGGGGAGCGTCGGTAGGTGGCCGATTCCGAGGGTCTTGAGGCGCCCCCCTCATCCGGGAGGTTGCGACCCGCCTGGTGGCGACCCTCCGTTGGCGTTGCTGGAAGCTGGACCCGCACGCGCTCGGCGCACGCTGACGTAGATGAAGCAGCTGCTGCGAGCGCGCGCAACAGCCCATGAGCGGGTGGATGGCGGAGGCCCGCGTGCGATGGCGAGCCACCCAGCCAGCAGGAAACGCCCTTGGCTCGCCGCTGCGCCCGGGTGGAAGAGTCGACCCGCTGCAGTCGTCGCCGCTTATGTGCTCCCTTTTGCAGCGTGCGCGCTGCCGAAGGTCAAGTCGGTGGTCTCCGCATTCGTGGCTATGGTGAGCAACAACAGTGATCCCAGCAACCTGGACTACAAGGTGGGCTCTCCCTTGCTTCCCACACTCGAGAGGTGATCGTCCATGAGTCCCGACGTGGTCTGTGGCCCTCTCTTGACTGCGGGCATCCATGAGCACACATCACGGTTGCCATTCAGCAGTGAACCTCTCTTTCCCGCCTTGGCCAAGCGATCCAACGGCAGCACAAGCTGGAGCCCCATGCACATGTGCAGGTCTGCAAGTGCGCGCGAGGTTATCAGTGGCCACATGTGAACCCTACCCCCACCCCCCACGACTTCTGAGGGGTGGGGGTGGGGGTAGGGTTCACATGTGGCCACCAAGACTGGCCAAGCGTTCGCGCAAGAGTTGGCCAACAATCTGGCCTATGTCGCTTATGTACCAGCCGATCCATAAGCAGCGCCCTGCGCAAAATCTCCGCGCCTCGCCAGGGGGGCCTCCCCGTCGCTCTGGGTCGGGGGCAGTGGCTGCAAATCATAGGAGCCGTGAGTGCCCTCGGAATTGAATATTTTGCGCTAGCGTGCGAGAGGCGATACGGGAGCATCTGCATAGCGTCGATTTGCGCAGTTCTCTTATGGCTTCCATTCGTGTCTCTAAGCGTCGATAAGCGTCGGCCTCCGTCCGTGGATTCGCAAGAGCCATCAAGATTGCACGGGAGGCTGCCAGAAGTTGCCACCGAAGTGTGCCTGCGGGCTCTTGTTGCCTGCCGCGGGCAGGCTCGGGGCCCGCGCTCTCTAGCGCCGCCCGCTGTCGTAGTCCTTGTGCTCGAACTGCAGCCGTTGCCTCTGTTAAAAAGGCATCTCCGAGCAGGAGCCCTCCTGGGAGTTTTTGAAGTTTCAGATTGAGGAGCGCCTTTAGATGACACTCCCGTTCGTTGGCTCGACGGTGTCCCCCTGACGGTGTTGTCATTCAAACTCTTATGGCTAGCGTTGGGCGCGCTTGCGACCTCTTGATCCGACGCAGGCTCCAGAGGCTTACGGGTATGAGTTCCAGTCGGGGAGCATTGTTGACATGCTCAAGAAGCTGGAGGACGAGTTCAGGATGGGTTGCAGCGCCAGTGCCATTGTCGCCCCTCCTGGGTCACTGCCACTGCCGCCCGGTGCCTTGCCGAACTTGTCACGATAGGTGCTGCCATGTGCGTGTGTTGACAGTGGCTCCTATGCTTGCGACGGCGGCAATGATCCCACGACGGCAACCATTGCGACGGCAAGAGGTAGCGAATGTTCAGTTTTGTTTGGGTTCATTATGTTGTTGCTGTGGTCGGAACAGGTGCCCGCGGCGAAAGGCCAGTCTCCGGAGGCGGGGCCGCGAGTTCCGGGGGCCAACGCCGCAAGCTCACAACATGATGGCGCGGCGTCGGAGGTCTGTGCCTGGCTCCCGCGTCGGCTTCCGCTGCCGCTGCTGCGCTGCAGTCTTTCCTGGGGCGCTGTCTCTTGTGAGCCACCAGTCCAGTGGACCCTTCACCTCTCTCTCTTTCTCTCTCTGGGCTACGCATGAAGCGTGTTCCTTCGAAGAAGTGACCTCTGGTGCGGGCTCACAGCGGCTCCGTGCTTGCATGTGCCCCCACCCCCAATCTCCTAAAGCCGCGCACCAGATGCCACTGTTGCCCAGGATCGCTGATGCGTGTAGCCGACCCTCTCGCCGTCCAGGGCTGAGCCAGTTGTCGCGTGGGCAGGAGGAGCTTGCCATGATGACGGCAGAGCTTGGTTCTGTGCCGCACCCCCCCACTGGAGGACCAAGCTCGGGGAGTGCCAGAAGGAGGAGATGAACTCGGCGCACGCGTTCAGCATGGTGCCCCCCTGGAGTTCGGGAGGTGGAGGCGGACCCGGGGAAGCATGGGGGAAGGAGAGGAGGGAGGGCAAGGATGATGAGGATGAGGAACGTGTAGGCGGAGGAGCCGGACAAGGAGGCGGATGAGCAGGAGGATGAGGAGGAGGATGAGGCAGGAGGCAGGAGGAGGGGGGCATTATGAGGAGGAGGAGGAGGAGGAGGAGGAGGATGACGACGACGACGACGACGAACACGACGACGAGCACGACGACCGAGGGGATGTGGAGGTGGAGGAGTAGTTTGGAGCATGACTAAGCGGAGGCCGAGGGTATGGCGGAGTGGTCAGCGAAGGAGCATAGGGCGGACAGGTAGTTGGAGCATGAGGCCAAGGCCGAGGGTGTGGAGGAGTGCCCAGCGAACGAGCTGATCGACGAGGAGGTGGAGGAGGATGTTGGGGTACAGATCAGAGCATATTGGGGTGTCGTTCGTGATGTGGAGAGCGTGGGAACCAAAAAGGATGTTGAGAATTCGCAAAACGACCAAGTATAATGATGAAGTGGAGAAGCGATGCAGCAACACGAGGAGGGATCCTTTGTGATTTGGAGCCAGGAGGGGGCCACACACTGCGTCTCCTTGTCTGGGTTCATGTGATTCGCGATGCCCCCCCAGTCTCGAAGCTTCCTGGCAATCTGCGTCTCCACACCAGCCCGTATAGACGAGAATTCCATTCCTGACATAGTTGTGGGAGGGGCATTGGCACTCATGTAGTGAAACAGTGGCAGGCTGTGTCGACTAGCCAAGACGACAAGGTCCCCCGCCGCCCCGAGGCCCAATCGGCGAGTAAAATGAGGCGTTCCAAAAATGGCCTTGCCTTCGAGGATAGAAGGAGTTGTCGTCTTTTCCTCGGCGGAAGGTCGGCGGAAGTATAACGAGGCCGCCTCCGCCGGCGGAAGCCGGCGGAAGCTCGGCAGAAGGTGGCGGAAGTGAAAAATGCGCCCCCAAGAGATGAAAACGCTTTTGGTTTCAGGGTTTCCAGGATCCGCCATGTACTTGTAGCGCTGGTTCCGCAGACCCTGTCCGCCTGCTCATCCACACCGGTTGCCGTGCCATCGGCGATCTCCTCCCCGTCTCGGTTTGGCACGCCCAGCGGGGAAGAAGGCAGAAGAGGGCGGGCGGTCTCGGAAGGCTCGGGAGGCCTTTGGCCTTACAGGAAGTTTCCTGAGCCTTCTCCCCATACCCCCTCGCGTCGTGAAAAAATCGCGACGGCCCTTACCGGGCCCCAGGATCGTCAATTATCCCAGTGCGACCCTACCTAGGAGTTAGAACCCCTAGGAAAGCAGCATTAGCAGTAACAGCAAAGCTAAGCTAAAGCTAAGCTAAGCTAAAGCTAAGCTAAAGCTAAGCTAAAGTTAAGCTAAAGCTAAGCTAAAGCTAAGCTAAAGCTAAGGTAAAGCTAAGCTAAAGCTAAGCTAACGTTAAGCTAACGTTAAGCTAAAACTAAGCTAACACTAAGCTAATGCCAAGCTAAAGCTAAGCTAAGTCTAAGCTAAAGCTAAGCTAACTTTAAACTAAAGCTAAGCTAAAGCTAAGCTAAAGCTAAGCTATAGCTAAAGTTAACGCTAAAGCTAACGCTAAAGCTAAAGCTAAAGCTAAAGCTCCCAGGGGACTGGGGGAACTGCTCCCAGGGGACTGGGGGAACCGCCCGGGGCGCGTTCCACTGCCCGGCCCCTTTAAGCAAAGAAAGTAAGAACCCTTCTAGGCAGAGCCTAGATAGGGAAAACACGACGCAGGATGCAAAACCGGTCCCGGGGAAGGGGTCCAGACCTCTGGGGGTCGACGCTTTGAAAAAATCACGACGTCGGGGGTCAGGGTCCGAAGCCCAGGGGGGGCTTCTCAGGAGGCCGGGGGGCTTCTGAGAGGCCCCGCCCGCCTTCCGAGACAGCCGGATCTCACTTCCCACCCGTCGCCGCGCCGCTGATCATCCGTTCTCTCTCCTTCCTCCTCCTCCTCCTCCTCCTCCTCCTCCTCCTCCTCCTCCTCCTCCTCCTCCTCCCATCCGTTTCGGCGCCGAAGGCTACCGAAACAGCTTTCAGCACCCGTTGCGCCATACGGTGGCCGCCCTTGGCCGTCGGAGCTCGCAATATCGCTTGTCCGTTGTGGTGCCACGAACTGCGGCCGCGGCCGCGAAGCTTGAGGAGTCATGCCCTCGGCCTTCACCACTGGCAGCAACAAACGCCTGCCTATCAGCTCACGTCGCGAAGAGCGAACTCGGGTTCCGCCCAAAGTATGTCAACATAGGAAGCAGGCCTAGATCGTGTGGAGATGAGAGCTTGGAGCCAAGACTGGGCCTCGCCGATCAAAGCCAGTATTGACCCCAGGGGGAATATCGATCAAGACCCCATCGCGCTAACTCGACCACATGTATTATATCTCTTGGCCCTTCTTGGCCCGTCTGGGCGTTATCTTGAGGCCTCAGAGGCTAATTGGAGGCCGAAGCGGCGCGGAGGCCGACATTATCGAATATGCAGTTGTCCAGGTGTCACAGTTCGGCCTAGCGGCGGCGTTCTGAGGAGGCTTGGTTTCCACATCAGGGTCACCTAGGAGTCTTCTTTGGGGCTCTTGGAGGCTGCTGGAGGCCATTCAGAATTGGTGAGGAAGGATTCGTTCTGGCAAATCTGACGCTCTCACTTCGTACGCCCAGAGGGCTGGCAACCCGACTCGTAGTATGAAGAACGTGGGTGATGTTCGGCGGCGAGCTGGGGGTAGATGAGAGGAGGCGGGCCTTCTCGGAAGGCTCGGACGTCCTCCCGTCGACACAAACAATTTTTCAGAAGGCCCGAGGGCTTCTGAGGAGCCTTGCCGCCTTCTGAGAAGGCCTTCTCCTTCTCACTTCCCCCCTTGCTCGCCGCCGGGATGTGGACGATGAGGAGCGTCAGCAGCAGCAGCAGGTTGAGGAGGCTGGGAGGGAGCGAGAAAAAACAGCCGGACCGCTGCGACGAGGGGGCCTCGCAGGTCATGCTCGACCTGAAGGACTCCAAGGAGAACGCCCTGACGGACATCAAGGACAAGACGGCCCAGATGCAGCGCAAGCTTGCCAAGGACGTGGGGTCGGCGTCACCCCAACATACTAATACTACATGTGCGTCGCCTCCCCAGGGGCGACGCGGGCGCCGAGAAATCTTTTTATGCAAGCTCCGTAGCGGGCGCTTTCTGGCCATACCGCTCGGAAAGCGATATACTACAAGCTGGTTGTGCAATATGTTCAGGTCGGACGCACGCCTCCAAGGACTCCAAGGAGGACACCTAGTTCTCGTATGCCCTTGTGCGTCCCAGGGAGGGGGAGGGCGGAGGAGGAGGCGAAGGAGGAGGAGGAGGAGGCGGAGGAGGAGGAGGAGGCGGAGGAGGAGGAGGAAGACGAAGAGGAGGAGGAGGAGGAGGAGGAGGAGGAGGAGGAGAGGAGGAGGAGGAGGAGGAGGGGAGGAGGAGGAGGGGAGGGGGGAGAGGATGAGGAGGAGGAGGAGGAGGAGGAGGAGGGGGAGGGAGGAGGAGGAGAGGGAGGAGGAAGAGGGGAGGAGGAGGGGGAGGAGGAGGAGGAGGAGGAGGAGGAGGCGGAGGAGGAGGAGGAGGACGAGGAGGAGGAGGAGGAGGAGGAGAGGAGGAGGTGGAGGAGGAGGAGGAGGAGGAGGGGGAGGAGGGGCAGGAGGAGGGGGAGGGGGGAGGGGAGGAGGCGAGGGCAGAGCCTCCCGACGAGAGCTCGAGCTACACTGAGCGGCTGGCCACGTGCAGAGATCGGATCGCTCACCGCACATTTCTGTTCCATTCGAAAACCCCACGAGGCCTGGGATAGTGGTCGACATATCCTCTGTTAAAAAAGAGTACGCAGCGCTCCGCAATTGTGTGTAAGAGTGAGGGGGCGGGCGCGGGGTGGGTCGCGGGTGAGTCGCGGGTGGGTCTAGGGTTGGGTCGCGGGGTGGGTCGCGGGCGTGTCGCGGGGAGGAGGAGGAGGAGGAGGAGGAGGAGGAGGAGGAGGAGGACGACGACGACGACGACGATGACGGCGACGGCGACGACGACGACGACGACAACAATCACGCAAATTCTAGGCCACGGAGTCCCATGTCACCCACGCACGCAGGGATGGTGTAAGACCGTTCGGCCCCCTCAGTCTGATCAATGATACGCCGCCGTCGGGAGCCCGTCAGCGTGTTGCCTCTTGGTGTCTGTCCGAGTGCCTGGTGTCTCTCCAGCAGTAGCACAGCGCGCTGATGCCTTCCCCACGGCGGCGCGCCTTTGCTACGGACTTTGTGTTCACGTGCGGGCGTGCAGGCCGAGGGTGCTGAGCAATCGTCGGTCCGCCGTAGTGTGACATCAAGGCGACCCCAGTCCGCTGGGGAGAGGACCCGCGAGGCCAGGACGTCCGTGGTTCAAAGATGGGGTCCTGAGGGGTGGGGTCCCGAGGGTAGGCAGGGGCCCAACAGTGGACTTACGTCGTTTAAGGCACCTCGCTCTTAGGACCCCATCCCTCAGGACCCCATCTTCGAACCACGGGGGATGGTTGAGGTGGTGATATCGTGAAACAAAGACCCCCAGGGAGGCCCACGCACGCACGCTTTTTTCTGGCACGTGGCCGTGTCGCTCGGCGGGGCGCGTGCGGCGCGTCATGCGACCCAGCCGGCCGCGCACGCCGAGCAAGCGAGCGCACAGGTAGGCCAGCGTCTTGCACTAGGACAACTGGCCATTTAACTGAATGGATGGATTTATGAGCGAGCAACTCGTGGTCGGAAGAACATATCCTTACCCGTGGCCTCGCGGGCTGGGCCCCTGGGACACGACCCTGCGGATTCGGGCCGACTTTACGCGGAGGCCCCGCGCGGAACGTACCCGTGCGACCGCGTGTCCGCGGGATCGTACCCTGGAGTCTAGACCGCAAGGGCGGGATACGGATATGGTTGCCGCTCGCGATGAATCGTTTACGACGAGCGAACAGCCAGACGGGTGCACATACCCCCATAATATCTCTTCAGCAAATGCAGCTTCCGGACCAGAGGCTGACTCATGTTAGCACAAGTAAGACGTCTGGATTCCACGGTAGGCTCCGGGGATTTTTTCAGATATGTAGTCTCGGCTTTCTTTCCAGTAGCTTGCTCCGACTGCCATTGTTTTTCTATAGTTGTCTGAAGGTTTTTCAGCCGTGCGCTGCTAGTTAAAGCCATTGGATTTGCGGAGTCTGTGTTCTTGAGGCTTCTTAATCCTCCCTGGTGTGCCAGCGAGTATGCATATGATCGATCAGCCCAGCAAGCGCACTTCGAAGCAGTCATTTCCTCGGGCGCGGGTAGGCTGGCGCTAGCAGCAAGCAGCTGGCCGCCACGGAGTCCATGAAGGATGCCAACGAGAAGGAACTCAAGGAAGGCATTCCAGCGCGCTTACGCCGACCTCGCCGCACACGCTTCCCGCTGCCTTTCTCGTTGCCTCTCTGTCCTCTGGCTCTCTCTCTCTCTATCTCTCTCTCTCGTTCTCTCCATATATGTATCTTTCTCCTTCTCCCTCTTTGTTCATCTCTCGTTCTCTCTCTTTCTCTCTCTCTCTCTGTCTACGCCTTTTTGTTCTCTCCCTCGCTCTCTCTCTCTCTCTCTCACTCTATCTCTTTCTCTCTCTCTCTCTCTCTCTCTCTCTCCCTTTCTTCGCTCTCTCTCTCTCTCTCTCTCTCTTTCTCCCCCTTTCTTCCGTGACCTCTCTCTCTCTGTCCATGTCTCTCTTGGGGTCGCTGGAAATGTTGTGGTTCGATAGAGAGAAGTCTGACTGAGGGGGGGGGCACGCTCATACAGTCAAGCGCAACCTTTGCTGGACCCCCGGCGTCGTCGCTTTTTTTCAACATGGACTCCTAGAGGTCTGGACCCTTCCCCAGGAAAAGTCTTTCATACCGAGTCGTTTTTGTTGACGGCTCTGGGGCCCGAGGCCCCCGATAGGCGGAACATTGTCAACATTCTTCGTCGTACTTTTCCACGACGCGAGGGGGGCACGGTGACTGGCGACAGTACTCCAATTTGTTTTGGGTTCGCTGGTCCACGCCCACGGCGACAGTATCGCACCTGGAGTCCGCCGATCCACCCCGTGCTGCCGTGCCTCTCTGCTGCCCTGCCTCTCTGCCCGAGCAGGCCCTCGAAGCCACTTGCCTGATTGCGCGCGAGCAGGGGCGGAAATGGGTGCCAGCAGAGGAAGGAGGCGGAAGAAGGGTGGGGGGTGCATGAGGGAGGCGCAGGCTTCTGGCGTTCCCCCGCCCTCCCCCCCCCTCAATATGATTGTCTCAATACGTTTCGGCTTCTGGTGGCCGCTGTCGAGCCCAGGGACCAGCAAACATGAGCCCGGGACGAAACCGATGCCTCCGCCAGGACGTGGGTCGAGACCCGCGGGGCCCCCGTGGGGGGGGGAGAGGGTGTCGGCAGGCGGCCATGTCCGAGGGGAGGACAGGGCGCCACGGGGCAGGCTCCGCGGGCGCGCTCCTTTGGAGGAGCCTCGCCGTCGGCGCGGCCTCGCCCTCGGCGGAAGCTGGCGGAAGGCCGGCGAAAGGCGTAGGAGGAGGGTACGGTGGGGGGCGTTCGTGAAGGACTGTGCCCAGGATGCTTCAGTCCCTGGAGGGTTCCTTATCTGATGAGGCGGCGGTGATACCCATGGCCAGTCCGCGATTGCAGTTCCACCAGCTTCCAGACCCTGGATTCCTTGCCCACTGGCTCCTCGCCCAAGGCCCTCACCGTAGTGAGCGCGGGACGCAGGCAGGGAAAGCCGGCGGTGGTAAAAGGGCGGCGGGTCCGCCAGCGGAGGGCTGGCGGAAGTGAGCGTGAGACGTGCACATTTCTGGGTCCAGGGACGAAGACCGACAGCAGTTCTGGGTCCAGGGACGAAGACCGACGTGCACAGTTCTGGGTCCAGTTCGATCGGAGCGGCACGATCGAAGTGGGCACGGAAAGGCCAGGGACGAAGACCGACAGCAGTTCTTGCCCAGTTCGAACAGGACTCGTTGACGGTGTCGCCGCGGAGCTTGTCCGTTTGAGGCAGCGAGTCGCCTGGCTAGTAGCGGCCGCTGTCTCACCGCGCTTCGGCGCGACACGCTGTCCACGTCCCAGCACCCGAGCCGTCCACGTGCCAAGCTTTTCCGAGCTTCCAGTTCCGCGGAGCGGAGCGGCACGCTATCCACCTGCAAGGCATAGCGTGTCGCCGGGGCCGCCGCCGCGAAAGCTATTCCAAAGTCCCAAGCGGGCAACACGCGGATGTTAGCTGTTGATGGAGTGTTCGCGGTGGATCGCTCTCCATACAGCTCCCACGAAGTGAGCTGGCCGCCGCCCGTTTGCGTCCACGCGCTGCCAGACCCGAGGCGGGAACTTATCCAGAGCCACCGCCTGGGGAATCGAGCTTCGGGAGCCTGGGAGGGCGGTGGGGGGGGGCTTCCTTTCCTCCCTCCTCTTTGCTCCTGCACTCTCCCCCCCTTCATGATGCCTCACTCCTTGCTCGGCGCTCAATGCTCCATCGTCCTCCCTCCTCCCTGTCCGCCCACCTCCCTCCGCCCTGCTCGCCCCCCCCCCCCCGCGCACGCTCCACAGTCCCCCTCCTGGGAAGAGGATGGGGGGGAACATGGCGGGAGGGGGGCAGAGGGACCGGACGGGACCGGGTGCCGGAGGTGAGCCAGAGGGACTGAAGGGGCGATTCGGGGGCCCACGCACGGTGTGGTGGCCACACCGTGCGGTGAGTCGGTGGGGATTCGGGGTCACCGCACGGTTTTGGGATTCGGGTCGTTCTCCGAGGGTGTCTCGGGCGACGGAGGCATCCGAGGTCCCAAAACCGTGCGGTGACGGACCGTGCGGTGAGGTCTCTTGAGGTTCCGAGGTCACCGCACGGTCTGTCACCGCACCGTTTCGGGATTCCAAAGCGATGGGAACCGAACGATGGGAGGAGCCTGGCGGGAACATGGTCGGGAACGAGGTACGGGAGAAGGAGGGAGATGGGTTCGGGCGGAAATCGAGGAGAGTGCGGTGGGGAGGGAAGGGTTGGGGAGGGGATGGACGTGCCAGCCCCCCTGGGTCGACGTCGGGACCTGCCGTGGCCCTCCCCTCCGCGCGCCCTCTACCGACTCTGAGGACATGCAGGCCGAGTGCTTTGAGAAGGACCTGTCTTACCAGGCGCGCAGGGCAGGGACGAGGAGTCGGAGTAAACGGAATTCGAGGCAGTGGAAGTTTGTGGCGTAGAAGCAAGAGGTGCAGCTGCCGCAGCAGCACAACCAGGAAAAGGCAGGACCAAAAAAGGAACGCCTGGAAACACATGATCCGGATCAGGACCAGGAGGCTCAGGACCATGAGTCGAAGGACGGGTGCGATGGCTAGGAAAACGGCAGGGAGCGTGACGCAATGACGGCATTCGGAGGCACGCAGTGGCCACCTCATCGTGGGCAGGCGACGAGGACGAGAAAGACGGGAGCGAGAAGCAGGAGGTAGGCTGATGAAAATCAGCGGGGCCCTCGCCACCAGGAGAAGCAGAAGCTCCGCGCTGAGGAGATCGAAGCGATCGAGAAGGCGGTGGAGATCCTTTCGTCGCCGGAGGCCGTCGGGGCCACGGCTCAGATGGGCAGCGGAGGGTGAGCAGTGTGCAGCAGCGTGCTAGACCGGGCCAGTGGAGGGCGGATGAGGAGGAGGAGGACGTGGTGAGGGAGGAGGGCCCGCTGGCCTTGATTGCTCGTTCGCCTCGGCATGCCATGGAATACGTAGTTGGATGGGGCCGACACGACCCGGTTTTTGTCGATTCCTTCAGGCTGCCGAGAATGAGGAGGAGGAGGAGGAGGAGGAGGAGGAGGAGGAGGAGGAGGAGGAGGAGGAGGGGGATAATGAAAATGATAATAATTACAAGTATGTGCATGTGCAGGAGTATCTGGGGAATGAGGAGGAGGCAGTCGAGGGGAGTGCGTGGAGGAGGGGGGGTGAGGGAGGAAGAGGGGGAATGGACGAGCTTGGCGAGGATGGCGAGGGAGGAGGAAGGATGAGGGAGAAGGGCGATGGAGGCGGGATGAGGCGAGGGGGGCTGCGTCCTGAGGGCCGCAGTCCGCTACGAGGAATGGCACATGGCACAGACAGCACCCTTCGAAGCTACGGCGTGTAGTAGGTTGTCGGTCGCGGTCGCCGTGGCAACTCCCCAGACCGCACGACGAGTCGTCCCTCACAATCCGCGCGACCCGTTGCTCTTCTCCGCGGCGTCTGGCGCCTCGCGAGCCTCACGGTGAGGAGGACAGTGTATGATGACGCCCTCGTCTTTGCTCTTGTCCTTGTGCAGGGAGGCGTGGCACCCGGCACATTGAGACGTGGCCGAATCTATGAGCGCGCCTGCACTATCGACACGGACCTGCGGCTGCAGCAACAGCCCAAGGATCAGCGGCAGCCGCACCCAGAGGATCAGGACTGCCTGCGTCAGCAGCCGCAGCAGCCGCGCCACACCCATCGTCAGGCTCACAGCCCTTGCCCCGGATGACGCCCTTGCCCGGGCCATTGCCCGTGCTCTTGCCAGTGCAGGGAACCGCTGGGAGGGGCATCTCCATCAGCAGCACCTGCGCTTGAAGGCGAGTCTCCATCGTGAACTCCAGGAGGAACCGCAGCAGGGGGAGCGGCAAGCTTGCGTGAGCAGCGGCGCGTGCGTCTGCGTGAGCAGCGGCGCCGTCGCCGACCCCCAGGGCCGCGTACAGAGCGGCTCTGGAGCGCGCCTGCCAGCATCCGCGATGCCCCAGGGCTGCGCAAGGCCCGCAGCAGGCCCAGGCCAGCTCGTGCTCGAGCCCTCGCCGCCTGGGCACGGCGCGCGGCAGCGGCGGCCGCCATGGCGGCTTCATGCCGAGCGGGAGGATGCGGAGGCGGACGGGAACGGAACGGAACGGAAGCGAAGGGCAGGGAAGGGCCACGGCACAGGCGGCCACGCGAGGCGTTCCAGAAAGGGCCCCGCCCTCGGCGCACGCTCGGCCTCGGCGGAAGGTCGGCGGATAGCGGCGGAAGAAGAAGTGAGACGTCGACGTCTGGTGTAGGCTTTCTAGAGGCGGCCCCAGTGGGCCGTCTTCGGGCTCCGGAGCCGTCAGAGAACGACTCAGGATGAAGGGCCAGCCCCCCTCCTTAGAAAGGGTCGGGCATTCCGGGGAACCCGTGTTGACAAAAACACGGCGTCGGATGTCTGGGCGGGCGACCACCTGGCATTGGCTCGCATCCGCGGAGGAAGGGGGGGGGAAAGGCGGAGGAAGGAGGGGGGAAGGCAACCCGCGGAAACTACGACGCGGTCCCGCTCAGGTCCGCGCGGTGCCTCACCCCGCAGGACCCACAAGCAGCCCACGAAAGTGGCGACAGTTTCGCAGATCGCAGCCCCCCAGGGACGGCGAGGTCCCGCTCAGGTCCGCGCGGTGCCTCACTCCGCAGGACCCACCAGCAGCCCTCGAAAGTGGCGACGTTTCGCAGATCGCAGCCCCCCAGGGACGGCAGGTCCCGCTCAGGTCCGCGCGGTGCCTCGCTCCGCAGGACCCACCAGCAGCCCCCGAAAGTGGCGACAGTTTCGCAGATCGCAGCCCCCCAGGGACGGCGAGGTTCCGCTCAGGTCCGCGCGGTGCCTCACTCCGCAGGACCCAGCAGCAGCAGTGGCGACGGTTCGCAGATCGCAGCAGGGAGATCGCAGCCCGCCAGGGACGGCGAGGTCCCGCTCAGGTCCGCGCGGTGCCTCGCTCCGCAGGACCCACCAGCAGGCCCCCGAAAGTGGCGATAGTTTCGCAGATCGCAGCCCCGGAGGGACGGCCAGGTCCCGCTCAGGTCCGCGCGGTGCGTCACTCCGCAGGACCCACCAGCAGCCCTCGAAAGTGGCGACAATTTCGCAGATCGCAGCCCCCCAGGGACGGCCAGGTCCCGCTCAGGTCCGCGCGGTGCCTCACTCCGCAGGACCCACCAGCAGCCCCGAAAGTGGCGACAGTTTCGCAGATCGCAGCCCCCCAGGGACGGCGAGGTCCCGCTCAGGTCCGCGCGGTGCCTCACTCCGGACCCACCAGCAGCCCTCGAAAGTGGCGACAGTTTCGCAGATCGCAGCCCCCCAGGGACGGCGAGGTCCCGCTCAGGTCCGCGCGGTGCCTCACTCCGCAGGACCCACCAGCAGCCCTTCAGTTTCGCAGATCGCAGCCCCCAGGGACGGCGAGGTCCCGGACCCACCCGCAGCCCCCAGAAAGTGGCGATAGTTTCGCAGATCGCAGCCCCCCAGGGACTGCGAGGTCCCGCTCAGGTCCGCGCGGTGCCTCACTCCGCAGGACCCACCAGCAGCCCCCGAAAGTGGCGAAAGTTTCGCAGATCGCAGCCCCCCCAGGGACGGCGAGGTCCCGCTCAGGTCCGCGCGGTGCCTCACTCCGCAGGACCCACCAGCAGCCCTCGAAAGTGGCGACAGTTTCGCAGATCGCAGCCCCCAGGGTCGGCGAAGAGAGAGGGCAGGAGGAGGCGGGAGGCGGGAGGAGAAGGGACGCGACCACAGTGCTCGACTCAAAACGAATACCCAACCAATGAGGGTTAGGAGTAAGCATCTGAAAATCAGGAGAGAGAGAGAGAGAGAGAGGGACGCAGAGGGACAGGTTCGGGCTTCGGAAAGCCAGGAAGTCGTAAGGCAACGACGGGCGTATCAGCAACAGGGCGCAGCAGGCAGCAACGGCCCCAATGCCGGGGACACCTCTGGCACGCCCGGGACAGTTGCCCCGGTTCCGGCCCAGGCCCCTGGAAACGCCTCCTCAAACATAGTTCTCGTTATTATCATCTGATTGCCTTTCGGCTCCAGCCCAGGTCCCCTGGCCCAGGCCCGCGAAAACGACTCCTCAAACTCAAACATAGTTCTCGTTATTATCATCTGACTGCCTCTCGGCTCCAGCCCAGGTCCCCAGGTCCAGGCCCGCGAAAACGATTCCTCAAACTCGCACATCTGATTGCCTTTGGGCTCCTGGCGCCTGGACCTCGGCTCCGGCCCCGGTCCCCTGGCCTGGGCCCCAGGGAAACGACCCCCCATGCGAGCACGGTTTTTCTTTCTTATCTGACTGCCTTGGCTCCGACGATTTTCCAGGAAATTGGGACGATTTGGAAGAGGATTTCACGAAGTACAAGATCATGCGAGGGCTACGGCCCCTGCGCTCCACCCCTCGCGGGTCGGCCCTCCGGCTGGAAACAGCGCGCTTTCGCTTTTTCGCTTTTTCGCTTTTTTGGTTCCGGCCCCAGTCCCCTGGCCCGGGTCCCATGGAAGGAATTCCTCAACACACATGCGTTTTTACGATATCTCATTGCCTTTGGTCCGAATCCCCGCTTTCCGGGGACGCCCGCGACGGTGTGCGCAGACAAACAAGTTTTGTCTTTCTATTGTGTTTGAGTGATACGGGGTGTGCGTGTCTGCGTGTGCTTGCGTGCGTGTCTGTGTGTGCGTGTGTGCGTGTGCCTCGCCCGTCCCCCAGGGCCTACTCGCCATCCCAGGGAATCCGAAGGTATTTGTAGGCCCCCAGCACGAGTGAAAGATGTCCGGCCGCGGGGGGCAGTTCAAAAGGCAATTGGCCATGTACATCGGCACACCTATATATGTATGCACATACATACATGCATGCATACATACATATACACATACTCATAGCAATATAAACATATATCTGTAGATGTGTGTATATATATATATGTATTCAGGCGAGGGTCAAGTTTCGCAGGCAAGTCTCACCTGCTCTGCACTCTGCCACAGGAAGGGCCCTGCCAGCCATCAGTGCGGACTTCGCAGATTGCGGGCTCAGTAGTCATTAGCTGGGAGTGCTACGCAACATGAATGCCTTGAACAGCAATGTGCAATCGTTCAAGTCTTCTAGCATACAGAGAATGGCACCGCCCAAGCATCTCAGGTCGCCGGCGCGGCGGAGAAGTACCTGACCCTGGACGCTGGGATGCGGCTTGAGACAGGGGACGGTTCGTGTGCACACGACGCCGCGCAGTACAACAGAGCACAGTTCTGTATCGTGTGTTGCTACATCGGTGCGTGCATACATCTGTGTATACACTTGTATGTATGTATGTATGTATGTATGTATGCATGCATGCATGCATGCATGCATGCATGTATGTATGTATGTATGTATGTATGTATGTATGTATGTATGTATGTATGTATGCATGTATGTATGTATGTGTGTGTATGTGTGTATGTGTGTATGTGTGTATGTGTGTATGTCTATATATATATGTATGCATGCATGCATGCATGCATGCATTCATGTATGTATGTATGTATGTATGTATGTATGTATGTATGTATGCATGTATGTATGTATGTTTGTATGTATGCACGTATATGTATGCATGTATGTATTCATGCATACATACATGGATGAAGCCTCTTTGGCTGTCTTAGGGCGTTCCTGGCCCGTCGGACGCCGTCGGAAGCCGTCTTAGGGGCCTCGCTGGGCCGTCTGGAGGCACTGGGGGTGCGTCAGGGCCGTCTTGGAAGCTGTCTTGGCCGTCTTGAGGGCCTATGGGGTCGTTTTGTGACCCTCTTAGGGCCGTCTTAGGAGCCTCTTTTGCCGTCATGGGGTCATCTTGGAGGGCTCTGGGGCGATCTTGGGGGCGTCTGGGGCCGTCGGAAGGTAGACAAGGATGAACCGCGCAAATCCTTGAAAGCATTTGGGAAATGCATGCTTTTGGCCTCTTCGGGCCTTTTTTGGAGAGCATCCTGGGCCATCTTGGGTGCATCTTGAGCCGCCTGGGACCCCCTGGGTGGGAATTTGGCGGACCTGTACGTGCCCCAGGCCCGCCCAGGAAACGGAGCATCCCCGGCAGAGCCTCCCGCCCGCCCCCCCCCAGCAGAGCTGAAGCTCAGGCTGTAGGCTGAGCGGCCTCTCGGAAGCCTTTCGGAGGCGGTTACGGGTTCCTTGGGGCCTCTCGAGGGCCTCTGAGGGTCTGCTTGGTGTAAAAAATCGCAAGTCCACGAATTCGAGAACAACCCCCCAGACTTTTCCCGAACAGCCCCCCAGACTTCTACCGAACGAACGAACTCGTGGACTTAGCCCGAACAAACTTCTGGACTACTACCGAACAGGATCCTGCAGAGCCTCCTTGGCCGTCAGGGGAGGCCTCTTGGGGCTGCCAAGAAAGGCCCCCCGCGGCCGCAAGGAGAGGCATCTCGGGGCCGCCAGGAAACTTCCTGGGGCCCCCTTGATTATGTTCCATAGTTGTATGTTTCAGCTTCATATGGTGTTGCCTGCCTGTTTTTGGGGCCATGGACTTTGTTTGTAAGCTGTTGTGTGTTTGTGTATCCCAAGCGTTTGCTTGCAGTTTGAAATTGGGTTCCTGGTCTGGTGGCGTTTGTGTTTGTTTGCTCACTTCAGTTATTGTGTTCCATGTTGGACTGGCGTCTATACTTCCTCTGCGTGTTTTAGTTGGTGGGCACGTCTGGTTGCTATCCCATTTGCTTACTTGATTGTTATGCCTGCTCTCTCGGCGCTTTTCATTTTGAAGTGGTGTCCTTGGCCTGGTGACTCTCTTGATTGTTTGTTGCTGTTTTTTATTTAACAATTGGATTATTGTCTCTGCTTTCTCTCGTTATACATACAAAATACAAACTTTGACTTGGTATGTGCAGCCCGTTGTTGTGATGTTTTCGCATTTTAGAGTGGTATCAGTTTTGTATGTGTTGGTTTGTTTGCTGTGGTGATGAAATATGTCCTTTGTATGCGTCCTCTCTGTTTTTTCAGTTCGGTTTGGTGTGCTCGCCTACTTGCCTCACTATCTTGTAGCTGCATGGTTTGTATTCGTGGTTTGTTATTTTTGTATTCTTGGCCTCTCAGGACATTTGGTTTTGCTTCCCTCGGTAATGTTTGGCTGTCGATGGTGTCATCTCATATGTCTGTTTGATTGGCGGTGCTCTGGGCCTAGTTGCTCGTTCTGCTGATTCGTTTCTTTTGCACATTTGTTTCGTGCATTGTATTGAGCGTCTGTTTCTTTTCGTGGGCGCCTTGTGCGCTGCTGCGTGCGCGGCGGGATTCAGTTCCTTTCTGGTCTGATGCAGGCTGCTTGTAGCGCGTGCTTTCGGGAGGTGTTTGCGAAGTTTCGCGGGTCTGCCGCGGAAAAGGGATTCAGGGATTTGTTGTGCCATTCGTTTGTGGGTTGGCTCGGCAAGTCCTTGCAGGCTTGCTCGCGGCGGAAAAGACCAGAGACTTGTTCTTTGCATGCGTTCGGAGAATTTTTCGAAAGAAGTTTGCGTGTTTGCCGCATCACTGGGCCAATAGTACCTGTTATGGAGTATCCTGCAGGTTCTGGGGGCCCTCTCAGAGGCCTGATGCTGGTCTTCGGGATCATCTTTTAGCGGGGGGGTCGAAACGTCCTCTCTGGCGCCTCTTTCGGGCCCCTCTTGGGCGCCTCTTGGACCGTTTTGGGGGCCTCCTGGGCCGTCTTGTGGCCATCGCAGGCCGTCTGGGGTCCTCTTGGGGGCCTTTGGGGGCGATCCTTGGGCGATCTTGGGAGCCTCCTGGGCCGTCTTGTAGCGTCAGAAGCTAGAGAAGGCGAGAACGCTAAAACTTTTCGGACTCCTGAGGAACTGAATGATGTTTCCGCTCGGGGCCCCCTTTGGAGTCCTCTTGGAGCCATCTTGGGGCGTCTTGGGGGCCATCTTGAGACGTCTTGGAGTGCTCTTTGTGCCGTCTCCGGGCCCTCCTGGGCCCTGGGCCTTCTTGGGGACCGTTTCGGCCTCCCTTGCATCCATCCGGAAAAGTATCAGAAGAACAAACGCCAGTGCGCGTGGACACCCCAGAGAATCCATGAATGCAGGGTCCGGGTCCCGCATTATTGAATGTGGGGTCCGGGTCCGTGAATGTGGTGCCCTTTGGATTAAGGACGGGAAACTCAAGGGACATATGGACACTCCGATTCGTGCCTCGCAGCACGGTGGCGAGGCCGCGCGTGTGTGGGTGCGGCAGACCTCCCCACGCAGGGCTTACATGTAGGATTCCACAACAGTGCTTGCACTTGGGGGTTCTGGCTTTTGCTGCTCGAGTTGTTACATGGGTTCCCCAGGTGTTCGCAGCGTCGGTTGGCGCCTGTTGGGCGCCCGTGCGTTCGCCCCGTGACCTGGGTGCGTTTCGGGAGGATGCGCCGCGTTGGCGCCCGCGCCGTGCCGCCGCGTGGGCGCCTCGGCAGCTCGAGGAAGAGCATGCGATCCGCTGCGCACGCCGACAGCACACGGAAGACCAGCCACGTTTTCCCGGTCTTCGGGAGGCGCCTCGCCGAGTGCAGGTTCCCCTGGAGGTCATTCGGAGCCACCCGTCAGGTGGGAAGGCGTGAGCGTTGTCGGTTGCCCGAGGTCTCGCCGCACTGGCGCCCGTGCCCACCTGTGGGCGCCTCGTGGGCGCCCCGTGCGCTGGGTGAGTTTCCGGAGGGTTCGCCGCGTCGGCACCCTTCCCCGCTCGTGGGCTCCCCGTCGGCGCCCCGTGCGTTTACACCAGGCAGCTTCAACAACCTAGTTTACTCCACATGGCTTACATCAGTACGCTTGCAACGCACATCTCACACCACATAGCTCACACATCGTCCTATAGACAAGAGGTGTGCCATCATACGCATATGCGTTTACATCCAAGAATGCATCTACACATGTCTGTCCGCATCAGCAATTCTGCATCTCATAAGCATATAATGTAGCATTGTATGTATGTGGCTATTCTTCATTTGTAGCGACATATGTGTATATGCACATGGTATCACAGCATATATATATATATAGACACAACTGTATATCGTATCGGTTAGGCGTCACACAACATTGCTTACACAACATGGCTCACGCCATATAGGTGTCATCACATAGCTTACACACCATATCTGTCGCACAATATAGTATTCACCACCTAGCTCGCACCGCAACGCTTGCACAGCACAGCTTGCACCGCATAGTTACCTCACACCAACTAGCTCACACCATATAGCCTGCATCACATTGGCTCTCACCTGAAAGCTACCAAAACATGGTTAGACCCACGTAGCTTGCGTAGCACACCATACACCCTCCACACTGCAATACCGCACTGTCTGGGGCCCACACCGGTTAGCATGCCGTGAAGTAAGTGTATGGGTTAGCCAGGCTTTCGCCACATTGCCATCCCGTGCCGCCTCGTGGGCGCCACATTGCTGCCTGCGCCGCCTCGTAGGCGCCCCGTGCGCTGGGTGGTCTCGCCGAGGTTGCGCCACGTTGTCGCCCGTGCTGCCACGTTGGCGCCTCGTTGGTGCTCCGTGTGCCGGGAGGGTTCACCGAGGTTGCGCCACGCTGCCTCTTGTGCCGCTTTATGGGCGCCTCGTGGGTGCCCCGTGCGTTGGTAGGGTTTCTTGAGGTTGCGCCTCGTTGCCGCCCGTACCGCATTTTGTTCGCCTCGTTGGAACCTCGTGCTCTGAGATTACACGGCACAGCGCTCACGACATATATTCCACAGTTTACGTCTTGTGGCTTTCACCCCGAGCTCACGCGGCATAGCTTACACGACATAGCTTACAGCACGTCGCTTACAGTGCAGAGGTTCCGCACTCATGTCCCGCACCATATAGTTGGTTTGCACGGCATATATTACACCGAATAGTCCCCACCTCCACCATGCAAACACGTACTGTTCCTCCTCAGCTGGTCATCATCATATACATTCGCTTGACGAAGGATCCAACCATGCAACCATGTGCAGCTGCTTGTACCGCAAGGCAGGCGGCACGAAGGTTAGGGGCAATCAACCTACGAGTGGCATGCGCCATGGCTTCTCCCCAGATGCAGCGCGCCACACTGTAGGTGCAATTCGAGCCATGCGGGCGCTGCCGCTGGGGCCTTGCCACGAAGCGTCTGAGGGGTGTGCCAAAACGGGGCGGGGCCGTCACGGGAGCGCTGCCACTGGGACCTTCGGTGGCGGCGAAGCGTGCGGAGGGTGCGCAACAATGGACCCGAGTCTGAATGCGGGCGCTGCCAGGGCGTTATTGAGCGGTCTTGGGTACGTCTTGGGGGCCTCTTGGGCCCCTTTTGGGGCTCTCTCAGATCATTTTGGGGCCGTATTGAGGCCGCACAACCGCATCGGATGCTAAACGGCGAGGATGACCAATTCACTCATTTTCCGATGGTCCTTGATTGACTCTGACGTCTTGGGGTAGTCTTGAAGGGGCTCCGTGAGCACTTGGGGACGTCCTCTTGTCCGCGTAGGGCCTCTTTGAATTATGTCGGAATCGATCGTGATCCAACTTCGGCTATCTTGAGCCATCTTGGGGGCAATCTTGAAGCTTCAGGGGCCCTCTTGGAGCCATCTTTGGTCATCGTGGTTGCTCTGACCGTTCGCGGAACACCCAAACAGCCTCAGGGACGGGGTGTGGGAGGTTACCTTTCCCCGGAAGGGAATATGGTTTCGGAAGAGGAATGGAAGAACTCTTTAGACCACCTACGCCCAGAGGGCTAGGGGTTTTACTCATAGACGAAGCTCCTGCTCGAGACTTCATCAATATTCAGGCGGGCAGGTGTCAACAACCATGTGTTTTTTCTCGTTGTTCGATGGCCGCCCCAGGCTAGGAACGTACTGTGAGGACCTTCAACGGGGGGAGGTTTCCAGGCTCGCGCTCGAGACGATCTCAAGATCTGGGCGGCTTGGTGTCGATAGCCATGTGTTGGTTTTCGTGATTCATATCTCCATGCAGTTGCCTCCCGGTGGAAACATAAGGAAGGGGAACCTATAAAGGGGGGAGGCGGGCGAGACTTCCTGACAATGTACTCAGGCGTTGCTACCGCTCGAGAGATCCTCAAACATGGATCATGCACGTATGGTGACTATGGTTGTGATGCGGATGATGGTGATCATATTGGTGATGACGATTGGCGAGGGTTATCATGATGATGAGGATGACGGTCACGCCGCTTCTGATTATGTGAGTGAAGTGGGTTTCTTGCGCGGGGGTGTGCAGAGGGACCAACATACCGTTTAGGATGTGGAGCATACCATTATCCCAGTTTTCGGAACACGGTAAACAACACCGACGTAGAAAACATTGTTTTGCGGCGCAGTGTTGTGTAGCGCATGCCAATGGAGCGGCACGGGACGCACTTCGATACAATGCGTTGTAGTGCCGCGCAGTGCGATGTAATGCAATTCAGCGCCAGACGTGTTGCACTTTTTTGTTTTAGCTGTTGCTTGCAATGCCACACCCCCTCACGCTTTCCAGTGAAATTCGTGCAAGTGAAAGGCGATTGGTTCGTATTGCGGGTATCGGGTCAGGAGAGGACGAGAGCACACGGCGAGGGAGAGGAGACAAGCTAGGCGCACTCGCGCCTCATCTGATGTCCTCTCCCTCCCTCGCATCCCTTCCCATTGTACTGATTTTTTCTCTATCCGCGGACGCGTGTCATAGCCAGCCTGCAACTCCAATAGCAAGACCATACCGAAATATGCGCAGTCAGAGAAAATGGGAGCTGCGTACAGAGGAGGAGGAGGTGGCGGGTGAGCAGGAGGATGACGAGGGCGAGCAGCAGCAGCAGTACCTGTAGTGGAAGGAGCGTGAGAAACAGGAGGACCAGGGGAAGGCGGATGAGGAGAAATTAGGGGGGCGACAACGATGAAGAAATATTTGGAGTCAGACGAGTGGCCCGCTCTGTGGCGAGAGCACCATTCTGAACGACGAGAGCAAAGCGCCGGTCCGAAAAGGAGGCCCGCTTTGCAGCGGGAGCACCATCCTTCGCACCGACAGCGATCGGATTGTAACGAAACATAAAAACACGTATGGCACAGCACGCGGACAGGGCCAAGTATTTTCCCGACTGAGTCCGGGGGGAGAGGGGAGCAGTATTCAGATCCGAGGAGGGGAGGAGACGAAACAGAAGGGTAAGGCATGACACAGAGGACAGGACAGGGCAGGGTAACGGGAGGACAAGGCATGGCAAGGAGGAGAACCAGTAAGATACGGCATGGTCTTTCATGTCCTTGTGGCGCAGAGAAGCACACGAAGGGGCCACCTGTACCATCAGGAGAGGGTTCAAGGTCTTCTGGCGGCAAGGCGCCAATCAATGAGCTTGGTGCTCTGTACCGTTGTTCTCGCTGCTTCCTTGTCCCGACGTCGGTCGAATTTAGCTAGGGGGGACCTTCGGCTTGACACGAGCATGCCGAATCCCGTGAGACGCTCCGCCTCGTCGTTCACAAGCTGTGCTGCTGATCCCAGGAGCGTCGTATTCAACAGTGACTCGCCGGGGGCTGCACCAACTCACGCTGGAAAAATCGGCGCGTGCGGCTGGCTGCTATGCCCCGATGGAGCCCCGGACCCCTCCTTTTCCGCCTCGCTCTCGTCCTCGTGGCCACGCTTGTCTGTTGGGCGGGTTTCGCATATGACTTGGCAGCGTGCCAGTTGGATAGGATGCCTCCCAAGCGGCGGGGCAGGCGCAGAGCAAGAAGAACGGTGCCGCCTTCGTCCAGGCAAGGGTGCTCTCGCTGCCCGCAGTCCACTTCAGCTTTCTCGTCCGCTTGTTTGCTTCCGCGCTTGACTTTGACCTCGCAGTTTGCACGAGTACGTGGTGGCGCGGATATAATTTGACTGGGTGTGCGGGATTCCATGAGAGTGAAGAAGTTTGCGTGTTTTCGAGTCCTTGATGAAAGGTGGTCCGAATGCACTCTCTGGACAAACACTCAGCATCAGCACCTTGTGTTTTCTACCGGGTGTATGTGTCGTTTTCCCTTGGATGCCTTGCATCGATTTGCCCTCTATTCCGACAAGACGTTGTCACGCGTCGGATGGCGCCATCATCCACCAGGTTGTGCATAAGTATGTTCACTCGCTTCGCAGTGCTGGTTCCGATGTTTGTTTATGTCGCATGCCTGCTTCCTGAACGCCGGGCAAGACTTTCAGTAGTAGGATCAGGAGCGCGATCGGCGGAGCGAAGAAACTACAAATGTGCCACGACAAGATGGGACGGCGCTGGGAGTAGTCAGCCAGGGCCGAGGCGATGGAACAGCCGATTGGCATCACGGCTCTGCCTGCCCCAAGATGTGCCAGCAGCAAGGGATGCAGGAGAATCCACAACCATGCTTGGGCGGGCCAGCTCAAACTCCGCTCTTCCAGAGGGCCGCGCCGCACAGAGCTCTTCCGACCGGACGCCAGGCTTCTTTCGTCTTGCGGCCTCGGGCCAGGCGTCCCAAGGCTCAGGCTGAGGAGGACCCAGACATCCGACGCTTCCAATTCTTGATGCGTAGGCCTCCAGCAAGTCAAGGGAGCCTTGTCTACCATCGTAGTTCAGTGTTGGGAGTGCACTAGCGTCGGTTAACATCAGGCACTCGATGAGATACCGCCGATTTCGCATCGATTAGCACCGAGTAGCGTCGATTTGGGTCAATGTTTGTCGATTTAGCGTCGACGAGCGTCGATTTGCAAGAGCCTGCAAGATGGTATGGGAGGCTCCCTTGAGTTGCCACCGAACCGTACCTCTCGACCTTTTCACCATGGCAGGTTCTTCATCCCCAGCCGTTTTTGACGGCCGCGAGGCCCGAGACCGGCGTCTCCAGAGGCCGAACATGGCGACACGCCGACCGTTTCCTTCGATCTCCCCGAAGCACCGCATGTCTGGGCAGTCTTGGCAGGGGGCGAGCTTGGAGGAGGAGTAGGGGGAGAGCGACGAGGAGAAGCTTGGATCGAAGAAGGAAGAGCGGCATTGGCATAAATTGTCGCCGCTCCGCGCAGATTTCTCAGATCGGCGCCGGGCCCCCCTGGCGGCGCCTCCGTCACCGCCCCTGGCGTACTCCGCGCGCAAGGGAGGGGGGCCCAGCGCAGCTCCACGAAATCCGCGCGCACCTCCAAAACTGCGTGGTTGCGGAGTTTTCTTTTCCTCTAGAAGGAGGAGTCGGAGTGTATTCGTACGATTAGGGCGGATTGTCCAGAGGTTGCAGCTGCCTACCGCAGAAGCATCATAAGGGAGCCGACGGGGCCTCGCCCACCCCAAGCTCACCAGAGGAGGAGGAGGAGGAGGGGCATTGCGCCGCCGCTTTGTCGTCCCTCCCTTCCCCTTCTCCAGCGCGCCCCTTTTTTTATCTCTTCCTGACATCCAGATATCGGAGGTGAGGGGGTGAGATCGAAGTGGAACGGAGAGCCCCCCTACCGGGAAATCGATTTCGGTTTCGTGTTCGTGCGTGCCATGCGTGCGGGCGAGGCGAAGCTGCGTGGGCGGGCGAGAAAAAGTCTCCTGTGGCTGAGGCGCGGCCAGACCAAAAGAACCTTGACCGGGCGGCCGGTGCCGCGCGGTGTCCCGCCAGTGTCCCGCGAAAGTCTCGTGTGGCTGAGGCGCGGCCGGACCAAAAGAACCTTGACCGGCGGCCGGTGCCCCGCGGTGTCCCGCCGGTGTCCCGCGGTGTCCCGCGGTGTCCCGCGGTGCCCCGCGGTGTCCCGCTGGTGTCCCGCGATGATGATGATGATGATGATGATGATGATGATGATGATGATGATGATGATGATGATGATGATGATGATGATGATGATGATGATGATGAGATGATGATGATGCTGCTGCTGATGATGATGATGGTGATGATGATGCTGCTGCTGATGATGCTGCTGATGATGATGATGATGATGGTGATGCTGCTGATGATGATGACGACGACGATGATGATTATTATGATGATGATGATGATGATATGATGATGACGGTGTCCCGATGATGATGATGATGATGATGATGATGTCGATGATGATGATGATGACGATGATGATGATGATGCTGATGGTGCCCCGATGATGAGGATGATGATGATGATCATGATGATTATGTTGATGATCATGATGATGACGATGATGGTGTCCCGATGATAATGAGTATGATGATGTTGATGTTGATGATGCTGATTATGATTGTGTCCCGATGATGATGATGTAGATGATGATGAGGTTGATGATGATTATGGCGTCCCGATGATGATGATTATTATGATGGTGATGATGATGATGTTGGTGATGATGGCGTCCCGATGGTGATGATGATGATGATGATGTTGATGCTGATGTCGGTAATGATGATGATGGTGCTCCGATGATGACGATGATGATGATGCTAATGATGATGTTGATGATGCTGATGATGATGATGTCGATGATGAGGGTGAGATGATGATGATGATGGTGTCCCGATGATGATGATGATGATGATGATGATGATGATGCTGATGATGATGATAACGATGGTGATCATGATGGTGTCCCGATGATGATGCTGCTGCTGGTGATGATGATGACGATGACTGTGTCCCGATGCTGCTGATGATGATGATGATGTTGATGATGATGATTGTGATGATGGTGATGATGATGATGGTGGAGTCCCGATGATGTTGATGACCATGATGATGATGATGTTGGTGTTGATGATGAGGACGGTGTCCCTATTATGATGATGTTGGTGATGATGATGTTGATGTTGATGTTGTTGTTGATGATGATGATGATGACGTTGATTGTGAGAGCGGGTGTGATATCGATAGTGAGATCGATAGTGAGACCGAATGTGATATCGATTGTGAGATCGATTGTGAGATCGATAGTCAGATCAATTGTGAGATAGATCGAGTGAGATCGATTGTGAGATCGATCGAGGGAGATCGATCTAGCGAGACCGATACTGAGATCGATAGTGAGACCGATCCAGTGAGACGTTGGTTCCTCCCCCCCCCGAACCTCCTTATCACCCGAAGGGTGGTCGTATAGGTATGCATGTATGTATGTGTGCATGCGTGCATGCATGCATGTATGCATGTATGCACGTATGCCGGTAAGTATACAAGTTTGTTTGTATGTGTGTACGTATGCATGTATGCATGTATATAGGTAGGTAGGTCGGTCGGTAGGTAGGTAGGTTGGTAGGTAGGTATGTAGGTTGGTATGCATGAATGCATGCATGAATGTATGTCTGTCAGTAGGTATGTATGTATGCCTGCAGGCCTGCCTGAACGTATGTATGGATGTATGTATGTATGTATGCATGCATGCATGTTTGTTTGTACGTGTGTATGTATGTATGCATGTATGTATGCACGTATGTCTGTATGTATGTATGTATGCATGTATGCATGCATGCATGCATGCATGTATGTGCGTACGCATTCATGCATGTGTTTCTGTGTATATTTGTATATGCATCGATGTTCGTTGCTTGATTCATGTATCTGCTTTTGTCTTTAGTATGTCTCCCCGACCTGCTTTTGTCTCCCTGGCGGCGAAGGTCGCCCGGCGGGGCATGACCGCATCTGCCACACCCGCAGAGCCGCTGGCCCGAGCCCGCCCGAGGGGCAGTGGCCAGTGCCGCACCGCCGCCCCGGCCCCCCCCGCGCCAGCGGCGCCCCGGCGGTGTCGAGGTCCCTCGCGCCCCGCCCTCCCGCTCGGTGCCTCGCTGCTCGGCGCGCGTGCCTCAGATGCTCGTTCTGGGTATCTTCGGGGGCGGAAAAGAGGGGGGTGATGACTAGGGGGGGGTGGATATCATGGCGTGGGCCATGATATTTCCCCAGATTTCATGGCGCCTCTTCTGATTTCATTACGTCCCTGGCCCCCATGCTGGGCCGCGCACATGCCGCCGGTCATGATTTGCACCCGCCCCTCTTGGACACCCCCCTCTTGGCCGCTCCCGATATCTTGCTGGGGCCCGCCTGGCGGGCCTGCTGGCTTGGCTCGAGATCGGCTTTAGGCCGATTCCGTTTCGGCTCGGATTCGGCTCGCAGTCGAAGGGCGGTCGCCAGCGTCGACGCACGAGTGGAGTTATTGGCTCCAGGAAGGTTCCCAGAACGGTCATCTAGCCTTCCCTGGGCGGCCGTCCCGCGTGCCACCGCTCTCGCCGTGAACCAGGCAGTGCCAGGGGCGGTCCACCAGTAGAGGGGCCATCACTTCCTCTTGGACATCGGGGACCAAAGAAGGAGGACGGATCAAGGATCGGGTAGGTTAGGTTTTCGACGTTTGGGGGCGTCCTTGGGGGTCCAGGACGGTTCTTGGGGTTCAGGGGCTGCCGTTTCCTCGCGGAGGTGGTGATCCCCTTGGTTGGGATCCGCGTTTGTTGGCCCTTGGGGGCCCTTGCTGGGCCCCGGGGCCGTCAGAAAACAGCTCGGGATGAAACGCCTGTCCCAGAGAAAAGATCCAGACCTTTGAGGGCCCACGTCGCGAAAGAACATTGTTTTGCTTCGAGCGATCCCCGCCGAAACATTTGGCGCCTCTTAAGGTTTCCGGGGAGTCTCTCGGCAGCCCCCTGGGGTTCTTCAGCTCATCTTGGAAGGCAGACGCTGGCCCATCTTGGCGTTCTCCTGGAAGCCTCGTGGGCTTCTCATCAAGGCTTCTTGCGGCGGTCTTGCGGGCCTTCAGGGCCGCCCTCCAGTGTGACCTCTTGGGCCTGCGCCCAAAGCGTCCCAACTGGCCCAAAACGCACCGAGGCGGCGTCAGGATAACCAGGTACAGTCGCGGATCTTGTTCCATTGCTCTTCGCCAGGGATCTTGAGGGCAAGAGCCCGCCCTGGTGGTGACCAGAGGCGCCCACAGTTAGGCAAAGTGCCCTCGCCCGAGCGCTGGTCACCCCGTGAGAAGTCGCACGGCGGCTGCCCAATCCGCTTCGGCAGAGACCCCGCCACCCATTCCGATTCACACGGCGTGCATACCAGCGAAGACAGTCAGAGAATTTGGGCATCTTCGGCCGTTCAAAGTGCCTCGGCACGGTTGGGGTGCAGGGCGAGGAAGAGGAGGGAGCAGGAGGAGGAGGGGAAGAGGGCAGGGGGAAGGGCGCGGTGAGAAGGGGGGAGGAGGAGGGTGCATGAGGGCGCGGAGAGAAGGGGGGAGGAGAAGGGGACGAGGGAAAGGACGAGGGAGGAGGGAGGAAGAGGAGGGAGGAGGAGGAGGAGGAGGAGGAAGAATAGGAGGGTGCAGGGCGCGGGGAGAAGGGGGAAGCAAGGAGGAGAGGAGGGGCAACATGGGGAGGGAAAGGGCAAGGTGGAAGAATGGAGAGGCGGAGGAGGAGGAGGAGGAGGAGGTGGGGGACGAGGAGGAGGGGGAGGAGGAGGAGGAGGAGGAGGAGGAGGAGGAGGAGGAGGAAGGCACGGAAGGAGAAAAAAGGGATGGGATAGAAAGGAGGAGAAGGGGAGGCACGGACAAGGATGAGGAGGCGGGGCGAACACAGCGTGACTTCGGAACTCCTGTCGCGCTGGACGCGTCGTCAAATCGGTCATTGCGGCGCCTGTGTGTCCCTGTGGTCAGCCTGACGACGGGGCGCATGTCGCGTTTGATGAGACGCCGTCAAATGGTGGTTGGCGTAAACGTTCGGTTCGTTGCTGCCCCAGTGTAGTATACGACATGATGTTTCATTATGTTCCGTTGTGGACGGGCAGGCGTGACGTCGTGACACCTTGCATTTTTGGGATGTGTTCTAATCGGTCCTTGCTGTTCCTGTTTGTTTCTGTGGCCAGCCTGGGCTCGGCGCGCACGTCGCGTATGATAGGCCGCCAGTACTTGGCCTCTGCTGAGTTCTACTGTCACGTTGGGTTCGGTTCTGTTTTGTTCTATGCGCATCTGTTTGTTTCTGTTCCGCTCTCGACGGGCGGCGTGACGTCGTGATGGGGGGCGACGCCCAAGGCCGCAGCGCAGGCGTAGCCAAAACGGTGGCCGGAGGGAGGAGAGGTGGAGGTACACCTTAGGCGATGCTTAAGAAAACCTAAGTTTTCGGCCAGAGTCTCGATTATTCTTAACTTTTCAATGTGAATCCCAAGATTTTGATAGAAATGCTGGGTTCTTATTCAAGTTCTGAGACCATGAATTTCTTAACCCATGATTTCTTAAGCATTTCGCAGGGTGTAGGGGATTTGGGGGAGGGACAGGGGAGGAGTAGAAGGGAGGAGGATGGAGCAGGGAGGGGAAAGAGGAGCAGGCTGAGGAGTCCTCCTCCCGAGAACCCCGACGTCATGGTTCTTCTTACTCGTAACGTCGACTCCAGGAGGTGCCGACCCGTTCCTGGGACCGGCTTTTCATCCTGAGAGTCGTTCGTTGATGGTCCCGAGGCCCGGTAAGGGCCCCCGACAGAACAGAACAACTCAACATTCTTCGTCGTGAACCCGTCGTGTCTCGATGGGGGTCTGGGGAGGAGGAGCCCACCTCCCGCTCCCCTTGGGGAGAAGGATCGGCCCGAGGCCGCCTGGGCAGGCCGCCCCCCTGGGCAGCCTCGGCGCTGGCCGGCCACGCGCCGCACCATCTCCCGCGATGTCCCACGGCAGCGAGCTGCCGCCCGCGCCGCAGACGATGGGTCGCCGGGCTGGGGCGAAGTCTCGCCATCACAGGGAATTCCAACCGCCCTCGAGTCAGGTCCAAGAAGGTCACGACGGGCGGCGTTTCGCTATGGTCGGCCTCCGTGGGCCCTCGCCGGGCCTGGGGACCGTCAAAGCACGGTTCAGGATGAAGGACCGATCCCCAGGACTTGGTCGAGACTTCTGGGGGTCAAGACTTCTTTGAGTCGGCAGGCTGGTGCAAAGGCTCGCCATCAAGAAGAATCCATCAAAGACGATACAATTGCATAAACATAAACTCTCGGAGTTCCGCTCGGATTTCTCGAATCGGCGCCAGAACTCCCTGGCGGCGCCTCCAGCGCCGCCCCTGGCGCGCTCCGCGCACCACGCACGGAGGGGGGCTCAGTGCAGATCCACGAAATCCGCGCGAACCTCGGACAGTTTTTTTCTTTTTGCTCCTCTATGACAACTTTTGATTTCAATCGCAGCGTTGTCCTTGATGATTTGCTTCGCTGGGCCTGTCAGGCCCTGAGGCCATCAAGCATGGATACGGGTTGCAGAGGTATCCAGGGACGGGGTCGGGACCTCCTGGTGCCGTGGATTGAAAAACAGACCAGATGATGCTTAGGAATGGGTCCTTACAGGTGCTGGAGATTCTATACAGTTTTTGGGCTCCGCGGGGCGTCCCCTGGCCCTGGGACCGGTAAAAGGCGACTCGGGATGGAGAGTTGGTCTTGGGAGTAGCCCATGGGGACCAGGACCCGTTTCCCCCAGGACCCGTCTCCTCCGTGCCAAAAGTTTCTTCCAGGGGGCAGGGGTCAGACAGTGCCAAGGGGGGGGGGCACAAGGGGGGGGGGGCCGCTAGGGCCTCCCGAGGATCGAGATTCGAGGGCAAGAGGTCGTGGAGATGTCTTTGCGACTTCGGTCTCCGCTCTGGCTCTGTGCTCCCCAACCATCATCCCCCTCTCCTCCTCCCCCCCCAAAACGTCTCCTCTCCTGGCGGGGGGAGGTGCAGAGGGATGGATGGAGGAACAGCATGTTGAGGAGGATGAGGGGGAGGCGGACTGTTCGGGGCAGGAGGGAGGGGGAGGGGATATGAGGAGGACGAGTTGGAGATGAAAGAGAAGGGGAAGGATGATGAGGAGGAGGAGGAAGAGAAGTAGGTGGATCAGGGAGAAGAGGAAGGAGATGAGGAGGACGGGCAGGAAGCGGAGGAAGAAGATGACGAGGCGGAGTGTGAGGAGGGATGGTAGGGGAAATATGGGAACGCAGAGGAGGGGCCAGAATGATCAGCGTAAGGATGATAATCCTGCCTTCACCA